TTGAATTGAATTGAATTGAATGAGCTGGGGCGATGTAGCAGTGATAAATGTTCATGAGTGGCGTCAGAGGAGCTTGTTGGTGACAGGGAAAGAAATAAGAAGAGGTTATAAAATTCAGTTCACACAGTCATTAGCTGTGTGAACTGGAACATAGATCGATAGGTAAATCAAAAGTGTTGCTTTCCAGCTCAGCTCCCTTTTCACTATTATGGTCTGTTACAATGCCTGCATCTCTGCTGATGCCGCACCAATCCACCTGTACATCTCACGCTCCATTTTACCATCACTTGTAAACAAGATCCCGAGATATTTAGGCTCCTTTGCTTGGGGCAGAAATTTACTCCCAACCCTGAGGGAACAATCCACTGTTTTCCCGCAGAGAACCATGACATTCATCCCAGCTGCTTTACCCCAGTGTGTGCTGGAGGTCATGGTGTGCACTAGCAAGCAATAAATAATTTAAAAAGGGGTACTACAGTCTGCTGGGGTTTGTTTATGCCACTGATATTACTGGGTAGTAAAGAGGTGCTTGCTCTTCCTATATGGAACTGTATGCATTATAGATGTACTGCTACCAAAGGGTACAGATTTTATACCAACAGTACCACACACACAAATCACAGAGAATGAGAACTACAATTCATTCCAATTTTCTTTCATTGGTCCAACTTTCAAACACACACTTTGGTCTTTTAGGGTACCACAGTATGCTGCACTACATTTAATGACAGGTCTAATGCTAACAGCTTTGGGGTTTCATGACAGCTCCAGTTGCGTTGCAGTGTTCTCATGAGTCCTGTCTCGGTCTGTGGTTTTTATTATTGAACCTAAGTGTTGTCTGCCACTTCCACAGCACTATGAGGCTGATGGTGCTTCAGTGGTACTGTGCACCAGTCTTGACTTTGCAGCTGTACTCTCTTAAGTCTGTACAGGATAGTGGGGCCCCTTAGTATAATGTGAGTATTTCTTGTAACTTTAATTGGGTTTCCCCTGCTAAAATGTGTTAAAACTTTGTCCACTTTCCCTTTGTAACAACTAACTGTTGTGGGTTTCAGAGAGGTGTACTGAAGGTAATTCCATAAAATGACAGCAAAACCGATCAAAAGAGTATTGTCAATTTTATCTTACATACAAGTACGAGATGTGCTTCCATGCAGGGTAATTTCTTGCCAAGGTGTCAAGCTTAGTCAAGCAACATCTCTGGCTGTGCCAGTGGTTGGTGTCAATGTGTTTCAAAAAAGAGAAAGAGCATAGGCATTAGCCTGTCAAGCAAACAGTCAGTTATGGATGAAATACAGAACACACAGGCTAAAAGGGAGGTTTTCTAAACCTCCAGTAAATTTAGGGAGGATGTCTTCATTGTAGGAACGTTGTGACCTTGTATGTTCTGCATTCGACCACTTGAATCTTGAGCTCTTGCAAAAAATTTTGGGTTAGGGACCATCATCCTCCACAGTTTTGTAGCTTTCCTTTGACATCCTGCCATGCCTTCTATGCTCTATTCTATATTTGTTCATAGACATTAAACCCACTCTGACATTTCCCACATTTAATCAGCATAGTGATTTCATTGGCTGTCTCCCGCGTCACTGCTCAGAATAAAATAAAATTGAATTGAATAGTAATTTGACAGACACAGCATTTACTGCCTCTGTAAATGTCTGAATCACGCCTAATAAAGTGGAGGCAGATTTCATGTAAAGCACTGCAGAGGCTGCTGAACTTTATTAGAGTTGCCTGTTGTACTTCTAAAATAAAATTTAGAATTTCTATCTCATACTAAATGAAAAGGATGCACTGTTTAAGTAGTGGTCCATTGTGCACGAAATGTGAACTTGGTCAATTTCTCATTCTACAAGTATTATCTTTGGTCAACAGGGTTGGTTTATTCTGAAAGGTATGCCACAAGAACTTCATGATGATCACTCTACTGGAGCAGGGAGTGGAATTACACTGCTGTAAGAACTGACTTGATGCTTAATGTGTGAAGGTCCAGATGCCTCTTGGAAATGATGTGGCTTCAGTAGACTGGAAGAGGAAGCAATAAATAATTTAAAAAGGGGTACTA